GGGGCTTGAGGGGGGGGCAGTCAGGGGACAAGGAGCAGGGTGGGGTTGGATGGGTCGGGGTTTTGAGGGGGGTAGTCATGGGACGGGAAGTGGGAGGAGGCAGATAGGGGGTGGGGGCCAGGCTGTTTGGGGAGGCACAGCCTTCCTACCCAGCCCTCCATACAGTTTTGCAACCCCAATGTTGCTCTCGTACCAAAAAGTTTGCCCACCCCGATCTAGAACAATAATCCTTTCAACCATTTGATTCTGTCTCTAAGTTATTTACATGGCCCCCATTACCACAATATGCAAGTGCGTCATAATCTTTAATGTTTTTATTCTCACAACACTCCGGGGAGGTAAAGTAGTACTGTTATCCCCACTTCACAATTGGGGAACAGACAGAGAGACTCAGTGACTTGTGCAACATGTGTGGAAGGTTGCAGGAGTAGGGAATTAAACCTGGGTCTTAAATTCCAGGCCAGCAGCTTAACTTAGAAGAACTCTACAAGTAGACAGTAACCATTTCATAGTAAGTTGGATTTTTTTGGTTTGTTTTTTGTTTTTTTTACCAGTTCAAGACACAAGCGATGACCATAAGCAGCAGAATAATGAACTGCATTGTATCCTTGTTTGTCTCGGATCCCTGGATTTGCATCATTTCTTAGTAAGTATTCCAGGCACCTGTGTGAAGTGACAAATGACAAGCATATTAATAATATTAAAATTCAGCTTTTCACTAATTGGTAAACTAGTACTTGCCTTGAAAATACAAAAAAGTTCAATTTTATTATATGCAACAAATAGGAGCATCAAATTGCCATGCCTTACTACATCAAACAGTGGTCCATGTATCCTAGTATTCAGAAGGACAGAGAGCAGTACCAGAAGATGTAGAGGAGGATGTAAGACCATCACAACAGAAATATATATAATATGGCTAGGGAGACAATGTCTTCCTAACCCCAGACAGCCAACGGCTGGCTTATGTCTTGTTGCATGAAGGTTGATGTATCCCAAGTAAAATTTCTTGTTCAGGTCTGGGAATGGTACGTCACAGCAAAATGCAAGGTGCAGCAGATCATTTAGCATAAATACCGTAGTTTGCATGGATTGTAAGGGACCATTCAAGGTAGAGTGATCTGTTAATACCTCAGCAGTCATAAGATATAAAGAGGAGGTTAGTTGGTTACAGATCATGTATTAAGCCATAAATCCAAGGTCTCTGTTCAGTCCATGACTTTTTTTAGTGTCTAGCAGATTAATGAATTTAAGCTCCCAGGGTTGTCTTTTGAAAGTGTTGTGCAGGTTTCCTTTGAGGGTGAGGACTGATCAGTCACTCTATATCTGACCTCTTTGTGAAAAGTGTTCACCGAGAGATGATAGGCTGTTTTTGTCTGTTATCATTTTCCTGTGCGAGTTTATTTGAAAGCATAGTGATTGTCTGGTTTACCCACATAGTGCACTAAATGCTCCAACAACTAACACACCTTTCAAGATCCATGGATCCTACACAAGCCTATCACATGTGGTATACCTCATCCACAACACTAAGTCCATATTAAATTATGTCTACCTCTCATTTATTTGCTAGCTTGATGACTGTCAAATATCTCTAAAAAGGCTGGAGAAGCAGGACTTTCCTTTACAAAAGCTTATCCCTATTGTTTTATAACTGTCATTTTTTCCCAACTAATTTATCTGATACAGATGTAAGGCTTGCTAGTTTGAGTCCCAGGAATACAAGTATTTGTTAAACATACTCCGGAGATAGACTACATCTAACACGACAGCACTTACAGCAGTGCAGCTACACTGATGCAGTTGTGCTGCTGTAGCGCTTGTGGTGGAGATGCTCTAAGCTGATAGGAGAGAACTCTCCCGTCCCTTAAATATTCCACTTCCCACAAGAGGCAGTAGTCATGTTGGCAGGAGAACCTCTCCCACTGACATAGCACTGTTTACACTGGCACTTTGGCCGGTATAACTCATGTCACTCAGCGGTGTGGATTATTCACACCGCTTAGCGACATAAATTATACCAAAGTAAGTTCTAGTGTAGACAAGGTCATAGACTCAGACTTTAAGGTCAGATGGTACCATCATGATCATCTAATCTGACCTCTTGCACATTGCAGGCCACAGAACCTCACCCACAGACTCCTGTAATAGACTCCTAACCTATGGATGAGTTACTGAAGACTAAAGTTAAGTTAGAGAATTCGCCATTTACAATCGTTTAAGCCTGCAAGTGACCCGTACCCCATGGTACAGAGGAAAGCAAAAAAACCCGTAGGGTCTCTGCCAATCTGACCCAGGAGAAAATTCCTTCCCAACCCCAAATATGGTGATCAGTTACACCAAGCATGTGGGCAAGACCCACCAGCCAGACACCCGGAAAAGAATTCTCTGTAGTAACTCAGAGCCCTCCCCATCTAGTTATCCATCACCAGCTGTTGGAGATATTTGCTGCTAGCAGTAGTAGATCAGCTACTTGCCATTGCAGGCAACATCATCATATCATCTCCTCCATAAATTTATCAAACTCAGTCTTGAAGCCAGTTAGATTTTTTTTGCCCACACTGCTTCCCTTGGAAAGCTGTTCCAGAACTTCACTCCTCTTGATGGTTAGAAACCTTTGTATAATTTCAAGCCTGAACATGTTGATGGACAGTTTATATCCATCTGTTCTTGTGTCAACATTGGCATTTAACTTAAATAACTCCTCTCTCTCCCTGGTATTTATTCCTCTTATGCTCTCTATATATACAATCATATCTCCCCTCAG